ATCCCGAATAAACCCTGCACTTTCCGATTCACTGACAACTTCACGTCTCCCCCTTTACACACACACATCCGTACCTCCCCACTCACAAAATGACAGACATTGGTATCAAGTTTAAGTGTGTTTTGGAAAGGAGTTGCTGAGTTAAAAATGTTAGTTAACAGACTGCCTTTGTTAAATAGCCCCCGGGTGCAGAAGACCCAACAAAAAGAGGGGAGGAGGAGGGGGGCTGAGGATCTGAAAGTGTCTGTGGTGATATAAAGGGTTCCTAACGCTGAAATCTTGTAATACCTCGTTTCAAACTGAGCTCATCTATAGACCCCGGAGGCGCGGTCAAAAGACTGGGAACCTTTTCCCCTTGGGCTGGGCTTGGTCTTGAGCTGGCGGGACGTGAGGGAGAGGGAGGTGGGGTATTTGTTACTGAATTGGTGAGGGCAGGGCGGGGGAATCCGGGAACAGACAGCGGAGGGCTCCTTAAAGCGACTGTAAAGCCCCGAGTGTCCGCGGCACAGATTTGGGGAATAAAATACGCCGAGGAAAAGTCTAAAAGTGGAAATTATCTTTTGTCTCAGAATTAATTACTCCTTGCTTCCAACACTCAACACCTAACCACCTGGCATTCCTTTTTGGTTCTCCCTCAATTGGGCGCTCGGTTCAGAGTCCGAGTGCCCCGGAATGGGCTTGGCTCGGCTGGGGTAGCCCTGGAAAGTGTAGAAGAGGGTGTAGGGAAAGTTCTTGGTGCGGCAGGGAAACCTCTGCTCCTTTCACTTTGAAATAAAAAGTAGCCAAACCTTCCTTGAGGGCGGCGGCGGGTTCGCACAGAGTTTAGGGACAGCAGAATGGGGGCGGGGGGGGCAGGGTCAAAGGTTGACGGCAAGGGGTCCTCAGAGACCCGAGAGGAGCAGCTGGGTTTCCTGGAGCGAGGGGCCGAGAAGGAAGCTGCCAGGGGCCGGGGTGCAGCCGGGGCGAGCTGGGCAGATCGCGCCCTCGCCCGGGAGCAGCCCGCGGGCTGGGCTCGGGCTCGCCCGCCTCGCCGCGCCCCTGCCCGCGGCGCCGCGCTCCGCGCCTCTGGGCCCACCCCACGCAGACCCGCAGCGGCTTCTCCCCAGCTACCCTCCTCGCGCGGGCGCGCTCCAAGGCCGAGCCTGGGAGGAAACTCTTGACTCCGTGCTAGTCCCTCTCTGCCCTATCCCCTCAGCCCATTAACCCCCGACCCTCACCCCAGCTTCTCTTCTTAGGAAAGCGGTGAAAGAGGATGAGAAAGAGATGATTAAAAAGAACACACACAGGCTAGGGGGGGAATACTCGCTAGCAGAGGGATTGCAAAAGTGGGCGCTCCTCTTGCAAATCCTCCTTCCTTTTGTTTTCTTACTTAGAATTCAATAACTGCTCCCCCCCCACCAACACACACAGGAGAGAGAGAGAGAGGAGAGAGATTTTCCAAGAAAAGACAGGGATGTATTTTCCAAGACAAGAGAGAGATGGGGGTGTAGAGAAGAAATAGCCACCAAATTTTTAAAATGGTTTTCCTGACTTGACGTTTGGTGTTTTGACATTAATGACATTAATGTTACTGATGATGTTTCAGGGAGAAAAAGGCAAAAGAAATAAAGGAGAACTTGAAAACGAAATGATAATCATTTCCCTATTCTTCCATGCCAGAAATAGACCCCTTTCTTCACCTGAGCCTGAAACAGACTTATTGTTCTCAGGTGTTTCCTTCATCATACACATTTACCCGTCTGAAATCGCAGGAAATGGTTTTTCCATCAGTGAGCTTGTACATGGAGCCCTCTCCCGCAAAGGGCTTGATCTTTTCTGATTTGAACCTGAAAGTCTCCCTGCCTTCATTTCCCCTCAGTCTTTTTAAAAGCCCCCACCCCCTTCCCCAACACATACCTCAAATAGTTTTTTAAAGCTAGAATTTTTGCTCTCTGGGGTGTTTTTCTGTAAACAGCAATGCTACATAAACACCTTCTTCACTTGCAAGTTACAGAGAATTAAAATTTTACCACCGTGGACATGTAGGTTTCTTAAAGCACATGGATAAACTCAACTGAGGCACAGCAATGATACAGTGGCTGTATAAAGGTAAGATTGTAAACTAACTTAAAAATCTTAGAAAGCCATGCACTTTGAGCAGATTTCTTCCCAAACAAGTTTAAAATAGAATGGAGTCTTTGGAGAGGTAGATGATTTTCTTTCTGTTAAGGTTTAGTAGCCCTGTTTTATACTATACTGGTACATACATCGACTTCAGATTCCTAAGGTGGTGATTTGCTCCCCCACCCCCAATAAAGACCATATCTAGGTTTTATTCTCTACTCCAAGCCTTTGGACTTTCATTGTAACCTTAGCCAGCTGCTGTAGGCAACCAGCTTTTCTGATCTGGGCCTAGGTCTGCTCTTTTGAGGACTATGCTCTTACCCTCCCAGGTGTTTTGTTTGGTTTTTAATGCCATTTGCATCAGTTCTAGGATTTTCCAAATGTTCCCTGATAACACAATGTTTCAGGGCCAGAAAGATGTGTGTTTGTAGCTTCTGTTGCCCTGCGATAAACCTTTTTGTTGGTATTTGGTAGATTTGGTGCTTAAGGCCTAAGACAAGGTTTTGAAGCAGATCCTGGTGATCCAGAACTTCAAAGACCTGTCAGCTTAAAGGCAGCTGACACCTCACCTGTCCAGGAAGCTGGACATTACAAGTATTTCTTGTTTTTAGATTGTTTGGTTTGTACTTTCACCTTCTCTCTAGAATTCCTATTTTTGAAATATTACATAGATGGTGTCTACTTGTGACCTATAGTATAGCAGTATATCAAGATGCTATCTGAGTAGCAAGAGATAGTGTGAATACATACACACACACACACACACACACACATATATATATATATATATATATATATATATATATATATTCCATATTCAGATATTCAGTAGGGGGTATTTAAAAGTATGTCTATTCCTAGTTTTAGTTAATTATCTTTTAATGAAAGTGTCACTCATATTCACATCTGTAATATTGGAAAGAGATAATTAGATTTTCAAATGAGAATCAGCCACCTTAAATTTTGCACCAGAAAATACCAAGTATATTTCATTCTAATGAGATCTGTAGTGGGGTTTTAAAATTCATCATAACGTGCTTCAAGAAAGATAATTCAACAGACTTGCAAGATGAAAGGTTTTTTTCCCCCTAAGTCTTCTTAAAGCTATTACATTGAACTTAAGCAATTCTGATAAAATATTCAAAAATATTACATAAAGGCTAGAACCATATACCCACTATCACCCTTGCACCCATCACTTATTCTCATTTGAAAGTTTACTTTGACTCAACTAACCACTTGCGTCAACCATGCCCTGGGTCTTCTCTCCTGCCTGTGCAAGCGAAAGATCCGTGTTTAAATAGGTGCTTATGGACCCAGAGTGCAATTCTTCCTTCGAAATAGGCTGGGCCAGGCGGTGTTTGCACACTGCCAGGCACCCTTTATTTACATACATCTGCATATTTGCTCCGTCCCCGCATTTCTCCATTAAAATGCGTTCTTGTATGCAACAATAAATTAGGCAGAGGGAAAAAAAAAAAAATCTCTTCATTCCTCTAATAGTCTCCTTAAAGCTCCCTAGTAAACAAATCTTTGGTCCGATAATAATTACTTTGCTTCATTAAAATAAAAAGAAAAATTTGACTGGTTAAAGGGCATTGCTTTGGCGGTATTTATGTTTTATTTTCTCTCCCTTTTTGCTGAAGAGAGAGAGAGAGAGAGTGTGTGTGTGTGTGTGTGTGTTGTGTGTGTGTGGTTGTGTGTGAGTGTGTGTGTGTCTAATGAAGTTTGGGAGTCGCGCGCGCAGGGGCGCGTGGGGTGCGAGCCCCGGAGATCCCCATCTCCTGCCCTCTCCGCGGTCGCAGCGTCCCGGGCTCCCGCCGCAGCGCTCCGAGCCTTGGAAGCCGCGAGGCTCCCGGGCTGCTCCGAGTCCGGGCTGCGCGTCATTTGCAGTCTGGGGAATGTTGATCACCTCACTAATTACACCTCTCTCTCCCCCCTCTCCCTCTCCCTCTCCCTCACTCTCCTCTCTCATTCCCAGAGTGCATATCGGGAATAGACACACAAAGACATGCGCACTCAACTTAATCAGCCATTTTTTTAAACAGGGCTAAAACGATAATAATTAGCAGAATAAAGACATATCGGATTTTCATTTCCTTTCCTCCTTTTCCCAACCCCTTCACAACCAAACAGCGAGACCGCGGTCGGCACATGCTTTAACTCCTCCCGGACCCCCGAGGACCGCTCCATGCCCCCCCACTTTCTGCTTCAGCGTTTTTATTTTCACCCAATAAAGTTCGAGGATTATTTTTTTATTTTTTTTTATTTTTTTTAATGAACCCTCTCGTTTTACTTGGATGTGATCAGCTGTAAGTAAAATAAAAGCAAAACAAAAAAGAGGCGAAGATCGAGTAGGAACTGCAGGGGAAATGGAAAGTAAGTTTTTTCTTTAACTTTTATTGAGTAGTTTGTGTTAAATTTAGGTCGAGTATCGATTATCTTTCCAGCCTGATCTTGCACAATCTTTGATATTTCGCTCCCTCTCTCCCTCTCCGCCTCTCTCCCTCTCTGCCCCTAGCTCGCTCGCTCTCGCTCGCTCTCGCACACATCCCCTCATCCCGACCATCTCTTCCGCTCTGCCCCCCTTTTCTATCTCTTTCCCCCTTTTTTTGGCTCCAGGATTTGCTCCGCTGAAAGAGGGAGGGGGCACGGAGGGACCTGATTTTCCACTTTCTTTGGGGGGGCTGCGTTTTGGAGGATTTAACTTTTGGATTGAAGTGGCGGATCATTCACGTTTCGTCGAGCAGTTTTCTCTCCTTTTCCCTGTCTTTTCGGGTTCTGTCTCCCCCGCGAGCCTGTGGCGTTCTCGTGGCGCGGGGAAGCTGTCAGCTCCGCAGCGGCGCGGGCACTGCCAGGGGTCCCCGGTCGCCCCGCGCCCCCACACCCGGGTCGGGATGACCCCTTCTCTGCACTCATCCTCGGAAAGTTTGGACGTTGGTCGGTGGGGCTTGAAGCCCCTCTCTCCCTGTTTTACACCCCTCGCCCCCGTTATTCAGCCTCTTTTTTCTTCCTCCTCTTACCACCCCCACCCTTTCCTCTCTCAAGTTCCCCGAAGGGCGCTTAGTGCGCGGGACTGGCGGAGGACGGGGGATCTGTACGCCTTGGGCGGGGGAGGGGGGGTGTTCCAAGAGGCCGGGGCGCGAGCAGGGGCTGGGCAGCAGGTAGACAGCCTCGGGCCCGAGCGGGCAGCGGGCACAGCCGAGGGCTGCTCCCGGCGGCGCGGGCGGCGCGGACTCGGGTGCTGGCGAACGGAAGGCAGGTCCGTTAGGAGGCGGGAACGCCGGGCCTTGGGGCCAGGGACCCGGGAGGCGGCTGCAGCTCTCGCCAGGCGCTTTCGCTGCCGGTTGTGCGTTAGACTAGAGGATAGATGCCAGCGGCTTGGGGTCAAGAATCTTTCCTTTCCTTTTGGCAGAGGGCAAAGGGTGTGTGTGTGTGTGTGTGTGTGTGTGTGTGTGTGTGTTAGGGGGGAGGCTGTGGCCGGCTCTGAGAACTGATTTATTCCCTGTCCCCCCTCCCCAAAGAGGTTCCATGTCTGCAAAACGAACTTCACCTTCTTCGCCTCTCTCCGCATCAAGTGCGCCTTCCGGCCGGGAGCAGCTAAGGGAAGAGGGGCTGGAATGCGTCGGGTCTCGCCTTCCTTCTACTTCTAGTTCACTCCCTCCTCCCCCCATTCTTTCTGATCTTTTCTATCAGAAAATAATAATAATAAAATTTCTCATGGAATTGTATAAAGTTTCTCTGCCGATGCCCAAGTTACTAAGGGTTTCCCATCCTGGCCCCCTTCCCCCACAGAAGACGGTGCACTGGTTTGTATTTCTTTTGTTACCTGTGATCCGGGCGGGGGGCTCCTTTCGCGGCTCGGGCTGGGGTCCGGCCCAGAGAGGAGGCTCCAGCGGGCGCCTTTGGCCGCGACTCCTCACTTCCGCGCGGTTCTGGTGAGATCTTAGCTACCGTTCGGTGAGACACCCTCCTTGTAGGTACCAAAGGTTCAGATCGCAAACACGGACCCCCCCCCACCCCGACCCTTACACACACATACATACACACACTCAACACGTACTCACAGACACACACACATTCTCCCTGCCCCCCCCCCCCCCGCCCCCACCCTTCCCTTCCCCCCCCCCCTCCCAAAAAAAAAAAAAAAAAAAAGCACATACACAACAACAACAACCCCCCCAAACCAAACAAAAACCCAAAGACAAGTTCACTGGCGGAAGATGGTGGATTGACACTGACTCAGACAGAGGCAGGTTCACCAGGAAATCTGGCGGTCCCGATTTCTGACAGTTGCATTTCCTCTCCTTGAGTCCTTACCCCCCCTTTTTTTAATAACTCTGTTCCATGTTTAATCAAGGATCATGTAGATGGCAAAAGGAGAGACAGAGAGAGAGGAGAGAGAGGAGAGAGGAAGAGAGAGGAGAGAGAGAGACACGAGACAGAAGGAGGGTTCTTTCTTTTTTTTTTTTTTTTTTTTTTTTTTTTTTTTTTTTTTTTTTTTT